GAATTGAGTTTGTTGGTAGGGAAGCTCAGGAACTCCTCAGTGCATTTAGTCTTGTCAGAAGAATTGTCAAGTGTGGCAGGCTATAATTCCCCTGCTGTCTTGGTGCAAGATGTCACCTCCTTGCATTCCTTTCATTGAGCTACACCGAGAATCTCTTTTTACCTGGCCCATGTCTGCCATGAGCTCATGATGCTAACTGTGCTCTGCAGGATTGCACAGACACCTACCATGTGTAGAGTGGTCTCCTGGACCTGTCCATGATATTCACCAGTATGTTTTCCTTCCTGAGACAGAACATCATTCTGTGAATGGATTCCTTCATCAGCTGATTGTGTCTACTGCAAACATCTAGCAGCTCTGTTAGTTGCTTCCGTTTTGCACCACAATACCCGGCAGGTTGAATGTGCCCCTTATCAGGGATTATTTGTCAGCAGTGGGCTGCTCCCCAAGAGTGCTCCTGTGAGTGGCCTTGCTTGTCATTGCCTTGCTCATGTGCACCTGTGTATCTGTGTGGTGTTCACCGACTTGTGACCCTGTGAGGTAAGTGTATGTGTGCTGCTGTTTGTGTAGGGGACAGGTGTCAGGCAGAACACAGACAGGTTGCTGATGACTGTCAGTGTAGTGGTTGACACCGCAAATGAAGCTCCAGACACAATGATAGGAGTAATATTTCCACTGTAGCTTATGGGTCCTACATTGATGCCCTCCCCCTCAGTCTCCATGCCTGCCCGTCCAAACTGAGCTTCAGATGGAGACTACAAGGTGCAGGGCTGGATGAACACAGCAGGCCAAGCAGCATCATAGGAGCACTCTGCTCCCCTGCCAGCTGCAGTGCTTCCAGTGTGGCCTTTGTCAGTGGATGAAGCTCTGCTCTCCAATCCACACCCTTTTATTGTATCAACATTGATTCTTCTAGCACAATATGGACAGGTTTCACAATGCTGGATTATTCAATTTCAATCATAGAATCCCTATAGTGTGGAAACAGGCCCGTGTGAAGAGCATCCCAACCAGACTCAATGCCCTACCCTATCCCCAAAATCCTGCTTCCCCATGGCTAATCCATCTAACCTAGACGTCCCTGGTCACTATGGGCAATTTAGCATGGCCAAGCCACCTAACCGCTATATTTGGACTGTGGGAGGAAATCCATGCAGACATGGGGAGAATGTGCAAACTCTGCACAGACAGTGACCCAAGGGTGGATTGGAACCTGGGTTCCTGGTGCTATAAGGCAGCAGTTTTAAACACTGAGCCACTGTGCCATTCCAACCCTTCCTGGGAAACCCAGCAAGCAGAAATACAGCTGTAAAGGAGAGCGTTGTGCCCTTTAAATATGGAGCCTTCAGGATGTGGACCAGCTGGTGCAGGATTCCTGGCTCCACGCTGTGATCCGGTACCTGGTCCGTGTCACCGCGCCGTGATCCGGCACCTGGTCCGTGTC